GAAGCATTAAGAATGATACATTGTTGAACCTTGTGAGGTTTCTTCCTTACATTGGCTCTTCTAACAACTTATATTTTGTATAGGGTTCCAACACAAACTTTAAGCTCACACATACTGCTCCGTCTATATTTGATATTTAATATTTGCTCTATGAAAATCTCTAAAACACGCTGCTTTGTCTTTATCTAATATTTAATATTTGCTCTATGAAGATCAGGGGCGGACTAAATCATTATCTCAGGGGGGGGGGGCTAAAATTTTCAGACCCCCCCCCCTGAAAAAGTGAACAAAAAGCAGTAAATTCATATTTCTGATTTGTTAAAAATATATAAGTTTACAAACTCCAGTTCTCCATCTTCCTATCTGTAAAATCCAGTTCTCCATCTTTCTATCTGTAAACTCCAGTTCTCATACTTTCTATCTGTAAACTCCAGTTCTTCTACTTTCTATCTGTAAACTCCAGTTCTTCTACTTCCTATTTGTAAACTTTAGTTCTCCTACTTTCTATCTGTAAAATCAGGTTCTATCCTACTTTCTATCTGTAAACTCCAGTTCTTCTACTTTCTATCTCTAAAATCCAGTTCTCCTACGTTCTATCTGTAAACTTTAGTTATCCTACTTTCTATCTCTAAAATCCAGTTCTCCTACGTTCATCCCTTCTCTTCTCAATAAGCAATTGCACCTCTTCAGCAACTAGACCCATCCTTTTAGCCCTGCTTTTAGAGATACCAATCCTTGTTTACAATTTTTGTTATTGTGTACAATAAAACTAGTTCCTTGTCTCACTCCTATTGCCTCAGAGTAAAATTCAAAGAAACCCGATTACTTTTTCTTTGGTGCTATTTTCATTGATTTTGTATATCTAGGAATTCTTGGTTTAGTAACGTCATTCTTTGTTTATTTACTATTCCTTGTTTTATTTTTTTTTTGTAAAACTAGTTTTGGAATTAATGACCCCAGCCTGCCTTGAAATCTAAAAAAAATTCTAACCACGCAGAACATTCCTGTAGTTCTAAAGAGCTATCCAATCAAAATTTGAGGCAAATGATAAGAAAGCTTACTACTTTATGTAGATAGAAAGTATATAAATGATAAACATTTTTAAACGTATTTGATAAAAAGACAAAGGTTCTTTCCTGGCGCGAGGGTGTTTTGAATCACCCTGCACCTGAATAATGAAAATTCCATCAAAGATAAGTTTTTCTTTTTCCATTACAGACCCTCTGAGTAAAAACTTATAAACTTTTGACAAAGTTGTGAAAATACTTTTCAAGAAATAATTTTGACAAGAATTCAGAACGTTGTGCTCCCTCAAATATATCTTCTCAATGATGAATGACAGTCTATACATTTAAATACATTTTTAGCGATTCTTAAAAACGAATATTTCCGAGATCACGCTTCAAATTGATGTTTTATATCGACCATTGGTTTATCTATCTTCGCGATCCTTTTCAAACCAATTGTAAAATTGCAGTTGGTGCACTTGAGTTGGGTTGGTGCACTTGAGCTGGGTTGGTGCACTTGAGTTGGGTTGGTGCACTTGAGTTGCACTTGAGTTGGGTTGGTGCACTTGAGTTGGGTTGGTGCACTTGAGTTGGGTTGGTGCACTTGAGTTGGGTTGGTGCACTTGAGAATTGTGTGAATTTAAAGATGGCGGAAAAAAATCTTTGTCATCTGAAAAGTCTCACAAATAGAGCTTCTAGTGTCCTGAAAGGGGCAGTAGGCTGTGATCCAAGAAATCCTTATTCTTCTGCCTGAAAATTAGTTCCGAGAAATTCTGTCATTCTTGATTATCGCTGTGATGCCACTATTCAAATCTGAAATTACGTCTTTTTAAAAAAGAAAAAAATTGGACAAAAACGTTTAAGTGAAAGCACGAAGAAGAAAACTTTTTCAAAAAACACACATTATTTTCCATTTTGATAAATTTTAAGTTTTACATGATATATAATGATTAATAAATGCAGCTCAAACAGAAAATATACATTGACCATTTTTTATCTGAATAATTTCTAATCTGAAACATTTGGTAGAATCCATAATACTGTGGAATAGGAAGCTAAGCGACTAGCTGTAAAACTCAAGATATGATTTAGTATGCAATTGTGCATTGGACACAGACCAACAATTAGATAAGTTGATTTTTAAGTTATTAACAAAACTATTTGCTTTTTAAAAAAGAATATTATCATTCGTCAAAATTTGAAACTTTTGCTTCAAAGTCCTTACATGGCATGTACGTAATACGTTTCAATATATAATCCATTATGAATTTTTAAAAATGTGAGCTCAGGAGCTTGTAAGTTTTTTTTCTTGTTTTTGAAAACCTTCTTATCAATCTGTTAAATACATTTCACATCAATTTCAATGATATTTTGAGTGCTGTTATATTATTAACCTCCTTAGATCAGATAAATGAAAGATTTATTATTTATAACTTTTTGGGAAAATATATTTTTAATATCTGTTTATCTGAATCCAGAGAGCTTTATAGTGATCCTTAATATACACCCTCATCTTGCAATCCTATATACAGTTTATATACAGGGTGTATAGGATACAATATACAGTTTATATACAAGGTATATAGGATACTATATACAGTTTATATACAGGGTGAATAGGATACTATATATTGTTTCTATACAGGGTGTATAGGATACTTTACACAGTTTATATACAGGGTGTATAGGATACTATATACAGGATGTATAGGATACTATATACAGGGTGTATAGGCTACTATATACAGGCTGTATAGGATACTATCTACATGGTGTATAGGACACTATATACAGTTTATATACAGGGTGTATAGGATACTATATACAGGGTGTATATAGGATACTATCTACAGGGTGTAGAGGACACTATATACAGTTTATATACAGGGTGTATAGGATAGTATATATACAGTTTATATACAGGGTGTATAGGATACTATATACAGTTTATATACTTGGTGTATAGGATACTATATATACAGTTTATATAAAGGGTGTATAGGATACTATATACAGTTTATATACAGGGTATACAGGATACTATCTATGTAGAGTTTATAAACACGGTGATTCAGGACTCACCCACAACTAAGCTTTCTGTGTGTACTCCATACAGTGTTTTGCAGTACTTTGGCCGTAGAAATAGTGAGTTTTAGTGGAGAGCGTACTACATATTATAAATATAGTGTATACCGTAATCCATAATCATGTATTTATATTGTATCGAAATAGTTATGTACACTAATTTATTTCACTGCTTTTTACTGTGTGGGCTGCACTACCTGTTCTGTACTACAATGTACTGTACTGTACTACAATGGACTGTACTGTACTACTATGTACTGTACTGTACTGTACTGTACTGTACTGTACTACTATGTACTGTACTGTACTGTACTGTACTGTACTGTACTGTACTGTACTGTACTGTACTGTACTACTATGTACTGTACTGTACTGTACGTTTCAAAACACTTCTATAGCCCCACCCTTCACGTTTTATGAAATCCTAAGCAGATTAGTTGATGCTTAAAAATTCAAAAGTTTATCTAAAACTTTTGCACTTCCTCCTCCCCGCTTGGAGGAATATCACAAGTAAAAGTTTAAAAGAAAATGAATTTTTAAAATTTAAATATCTCCTAAAAGTTGACATGTCACACTGCACAGTGCACATTAAGTGTTCTATATATATCAAGACCTATAAGTAAAATCTTTTAATGAACAGAAAAGTGTAACTCCGTCTGTTCTTTTAAACCGTTCTTCACTGGTCAAAAATAATTGAGATTTGACAAAAATTAAAAAACTGAAAATTATAAAAATGTTTCTTTTAAACTTTTAAGATTAAAAAAATTAAACGATTGCAATAGCAGTGAAGAAGAAATGCAACACAGAAAATTAACATCTAAAATTTTAAAGAAAATATTAAAACATTTTGTAATAAAACATTTATTTGTATGATATAACACTCATAATTAACAAACTTTAATAAATAGAATTTAATTTTCTACTCATCTTTTCTTTTTTTTTGTCTGGGACAAATTTACATTTGACTGGTGAGTATACATTAAGGGGGCGTGGTGTAAATATTTGAAATCATGGCAGAATTTTCAACTAATATTATTTCAAGGCTTTATTTTTTAAAGCATCACAAAGTCTGGTTCTTATTTTGATATGCTCAGGGTGCACACAGTATGTATTACATTCAGACACAAGAGTTATTAAAGAGAGGTCAAAGGTCATGGGTTGACCTTTGTCACGGTTTAACCTTTTGGATCATAAACATTAAAGGGGTTCTGGCCCTGCTTTCAATAAACTTTTTTTTTGTAAATTACGTTCTCGTCAAGTTTATTTTCATTTTAGTAAATAAAATATTTACTTTGACAAAAAAAGAAGCAACCTTTGAGCCAAACCTCCAAGTGAAAATTATGTAAAACATCTTAGATTAAGACATGAAAAATCCATGATGGGAGTTTAAAAACGATTAAAAAATTGTAAATTTTATTTAAATTTTTTATTCTAAAATTTCAAAGATTTTTATATTTTTTTAGAAAGGCTAGTTACTATGGATCTTTTTTTTAAGCGACAAACTTCATAATGATGTTTAATTTACTGTGAAATGTAATATCACTATTTGAACATATTCATGAAAACTGAAAAATAATTATGCTTCCAGTTGTTCACAAAAAAGTGTTTTATTAGAAATATAAGTTTCTAAACCAAGTAAAAATTAATTTTCGTTTTAATGCTTTTGAGTTTTGAATATTGTAAGAGAAACATAAAAACTTAGAAAAGTTTTGCTTTAAGCAAATAACCAATAAATTCTGAGGAAATAGATATTTAATTTTTTTAAAAGGTAGAAATATAGACAAAGGAATTACGTCTTCGCCACAAACTCAAATTTTCAAATCATTATTTCTTTCAAACCTGATGATGTAAACCTTTGATATTTCAAACTTAGATTATCTGTTCTAACAGAATTCATAGTTTGAAATATCTAAGGTCTAAAAAATTGGATGAAAAGATTATAAAAGATTATAAAATCAGAGTTTGTTGCACTAGCTCCATTCCTTTCCATTCAAAGTTATGTTACAATATGAATTCAAATGATGATTAAATTCTTGCAGTTATGCTTCACTACATGTATGTATATACTTTAACATTAGTTTAATATTTTCCATTACTCTGTGTTATGCATATGCACAATGCACAACTTTATAAGTTTCTTAATATAATTTTAATTTTTCTTCTAGTAGTTGTATGAAAACAATTTTCCAGATTTCACTAAGAAAAGTACTAAACCAAGATGGCGGAGTGTACAGTAGTGTACACTGTGAACCCCTGATCCAAATCCAAGAGGGGGATGTCGTCTTGGCTCGTAATCTGTCTGGTGATCTGTTTCTGAAATAAAATTAAATAAAAACGCACACTAAACTAAGCTAGCATTGGGTAGGGAAAATAGGCCTATAATAGGCCAGGTACTGTAAAAAGTTTGGCCGCGACATCACAGTTGAAACCAAGCCTACATAGAATAGGGTTGGGCCGGTACATGCGACGCGTCACTAAGTCCGGTACAAAGGGTCAGGCTGGTTCGAATTCAAATGGACCCTAGTCCACCGTGAAATATTCTAAAAATGGATATTATTTTTTTTTTAAATGGTGCTTGACCGACTTGACCCAAAAAGTTAAAAAAAACTCACCAGGTGTCTCCTCCTGTGAATCCATCCAATCTGGATCTTCTTCCATTGGGTCTTCTTCAATTAAATCTAGATAATGATTTTCTAAATTCTTATAACTTATTTTGGTTAGATTATATAAAGTTTCTACAGTTTGAACACAGCTTGGTGTCAAAATCAAATATATATCTGACAATGATCATGTTCATGATAAAAGATATAAAAATGATATAATTAAAATTTGTCTATTAATAAAAGATACTATAAATAATGTACAGTTGTTAAAGCTTGTCTAAGAGTAGAAGATATATAAGTAATTTTCACCTATTATCAAACTTGTCCAAAAATAAAAATATGTACGTAATTTCCACCTATTAGTAAAACTTGTCTAAAAATACGAATATGTCAAATAGATTCTAGTACAATAGATGGCAACGTAGAATTTGTACACTCTCAGTACAGCTGTATTCTGTCGTCACAAGTGTCAATTCAGTTTTTGTGTCCGACAAAATCATCAATAAAAGTGATAATTTTAGAATAAAGTGCTTTTCTTATAGTAAAATAAGTGTAATTTTATGCGTTCTTTAGTTTCTGTTTTTACACTTTTTTATTTAATCTTGGAAAACATGTCAACTAATGTGAGAAACTTTCGCTTTCCTTGTTATATTTGACACTTGTGACGTCGTATATAATTGGTTAATTTCTCTGTTGCCACCTATTGTACTTGATAATCTATTTGCGAATATGTAAATAATGTTCACCTATTGTTAAAACTGTCTAATAATAAAAAAAATATTTATAAATTATGTTCACTTATTCTTAAAACTTGTCTTTAAAAAAAATGTTTTGTTCACCTATAGTTAAAACTTGTCTGAGTGTAGTTGTTGATGTAATCTCTTTAGGAGTTCCCTCAACTCGTGGATTTTCTAAAGCATAAAATAATCCATTAAACTTTTTTTCTTAAAAAGTCACCAACGAAAATCTTCAAAAACAAATATCTAAGTGAAAAATCTTTGATTTTTATTTTGTAAGAATATTTCTAAAACGTTTGAATGCATTTATTGCCTGAAGTTCGATGAATTATTGCAGTTTTTACAGAAAAAAGCGTTGAATAAATTAGTTAGAATTCCGCCCCATATTCATCATAAAGATAATTAGTAATTTTGATGCACAATACAAACCAACGGGTGCGAACTTGAGCACCTTAATGATAATCATCATAAACATAAAACTTCATTTTGAATAATATGTAGGGGGGTTAAGGAATTTTATCCAAGGTTTCCCGGTTCACTGCAAATTAGCCAGGATAAGGTCAAATTTATGCGATCTTACTAGAAAAGACTTTGTAACCTCGTAGCTCTTCTAGAAAAACCTTTTTATTCTTCTCAATAGCTTCTGAATAAGAGGAGTTATGATACAAAACATATAAGATTTCAATCTTACGTGTAATTTACTTTAGTTTAGCGTGTTGAATTGGAAATCATCATAAACATTTTAATTGAAACTATCTTAAAGGTCCTGCTAATGAAAAATACACAAGAAACGGGTGTAAACATACTCAATGCAACTTAGTCCAAGACAAAAAAACGTGCTTTAACTATGGTTTTTGATAAAAAAGAAAATTTAACCTAATTCAGTTTTGAAATCTTAGAAGTTTTGTTAAAACCTTAAAAAACCAAATTGTCAACAATACTAACCATAGAGTCGGATAGAACCGTCCGTCTTTCCCAGAGAGTTGGTTGAGATACAGTAGTAAACTCCTAGGTCGGAGTAACTCAGGTTTCTAGATTCATCCACAAAACCATTTTTTACTCATTCAATCAGACTGAGATATAAAAAACGACTGTACGCCCTGAGCAAAATCAGGAAAGCCTGAGCAAAGATTGACCAGGTTAGTTGATTCCTGAGTTTGTCATTCGCAGATAGGTCCTGCTAAAACCAAGCAAAGGAATTGAGTCTTTGCCATAAACTACGATTTTCTAATCCTTATATCTTAGCAACCTAAAGGTGTATTTCAAACTTAGATTTCTCAATCGAACAGAATTCGTAGTTTGAAATATCTCAAGTCTACGACATTGTGCTGCCGTGATACATGCAGGGGTGAGAAAATTCGAGTTTGTAGCAAAAAGACCGATTGGGGTTTACTTAAACAATTCATAGGTCGGAATTTTCAATGATGATTCATTTGGTATACTGTATACAAGTTACAACACCTAAACTCTATATAAACTGCAGACACTCTTGATTTGAAGCGATTATGTCCATAATCCGTTAAAAAAAGCTGAAGCGTTTTTTGGCTACATCTCAATGACAGAGAGTAAATTCTTGAATTGATTGAAAAAAATAGTTGATTTGTTGAATTCCTTATTTGAAGAATCATTTGAACCTTGTATCCATCTTTCCTCTCCTCTATATTGTATTTCACACTGAAAAAAAATAATGATTAAAAAGCAAATAAAACAGTGAGCATCAATAAAACGAAATGATTACTTCTTCATCTTTCGTTTGATTAGAAATACCTCTACATTACATTACTTAACGTTAACTGCTGCGCACGGTAACTTTAGCAATAATCTAAAATATAGCTTTCAATCTAATGTTTAAAATCCATATATTCGGCACTCGCTGCAAAACAATGGCTCTAAAATATTCTATTTAAAATTTTTTTTATATGGCATGCATTATTTGGCTCCGATTGTCCGGCAAAATAGAAAGATATCTGTAAAAAAATATCTCAGAAAAATGTGCATTTTAGGGGTTTTCACAGTCTAATCAAATACGACTAGCTGTGCACCTAGTGTTAAAACAATACGCACAAAAAAGTTTCTTCACTCATTGAGCGCACGTGCCATTTTATTTTATTTAGCTGAAAGCAACTTAGGACACCTTTGTATGCAGTATGGTGTGAAGTTAAGCAGGTTTGCTTTTATCAAGATTTGTTTCTTCGTAATTTCCATGATCATGCTAATTTATAGAACCGACAACAGTGTCGTAATCCTTCATACAAAATAAAGATTTTTTTAATGCTTTCAGGGACAGCAGACGTTATTTGATGTTACTCTCCATTTATATGGCATGTTGGACTCATAACGGTAGTATTTTGATCAAGAATGAATAAGATTTCCATATTTTTAATAAACGCAGGAACGTGACAGAAAATTAAGCGATATCTTCCAGATTATTGATCAGGAAAAGGTTTGCAGTATATCGTTGCGAATTGGGCTTACTCCTCTTTAAATAAAGTTTTTCTTGAAATTACAACGACATTACGTCTCAAATTTTACTTGAAATTACGACATTACGTCTCAAATTTTACTTGAAGTTACAACGACATTACGTCTCAAATTTTACTTGAAATTACAACGACATTATGTCTCAAATTTTACTTGAAATTACAACGACATTACGTCTAAAATTGCCTGTTTCTTCCTCTGGAAAAAATGGTCTTCAATACAAAATACAAGTTTGGTGCGTCCATATATCTTTAATCAAAAAATATATGAATTTCATCTAATCGATTTGGCGCAGAAATAAATTGGCTTACAAATCTAAAGTCTAGCTCAACCTTTGAGGGTAAGACCCTCTTAGTGTTGTTAATTATAAATTGCTAAATTCTTAGCGATTCTTACTTCATAAGTGCCGCTTATTGCACTGTTAAATCAAACTGTTGGAATAAAAATTCTCCATCATATCTTTCATATTAATTTTAATATTAATGAATGTCCTCTTCCATATTTCACAACAGCTCATGAATGCTATGTTTATTACTGAAAGTACCAATATTCATCAAACTGTTGTTTTGTATTCAAATTTAAAATGAGGTAATTCAGATTAATTATTGTATATTACTGGATAAAGAAAGGGGGATTGTACATTAAGGTATGAAGAAGGGGGGGGGGGTAATTCAATTTTTATTTACTTTCAAAATTTATAAATTACTCACTTATAAATGTTAACGAAGATTCTCATATTTTTGATCATATTTGTTAAATCATATAATTCAACTTTTATCATAGAAGATATATATTTAAAAAACAAATTTCAGCAGAACAGACAAACGTTGACCCAATATAGGAATTATTGTTTTGCAAACAAATGCATAACTCGTCTTTAAGATAATCAACGTGAAGCAAAAAATGAGATATTCTTCGGGAAAAAAATTTACGTTTTGCATGAAAATTAAGAATTGCACAAATGCAAATTACGTTTTTGATTCAGCTTTAAAGCAATTTGTTATAGTTTCATAAAAAAAACCTTGGGGAATTTCGGTGTTTTTTATTTGAATTCTTTATTTTATTTACAAAGATTTAAAAAAACTTGTGATGATCATTGTCTATTGCTAGACAGTTTATTAAAAATATCTGACTTAAAACTCTAATTTTCCAGTCCTGACATCTTTGTGACTTGAAGTCTGAGAATTTAGGTTTTTCAAACTTTGACTGTTTCAACGAGTAGAATTTATAATATGAAATATCAGAAGTTGCAAAGATATAATAATTATAAAAATAAAGTAATTAATCAGTATTTTTATTGCACTCAAAGTTTTGCTAATATTATATATTGTTCAACTTACTTATTTAGCAGCATTTCTTGTTCATGTTTCCCCTGCTTCATCCAGTAGTTAATTGTGTTGGGATATGCTTCGATCCTGACAGGGTGTACATGTTTTTGAAAATTGTCAAAAAAATGTTTAAAAAAGTAGATAAAGAGCTTCTGATGAAAGTTTTTTTATTTCAAAAAGTACCAATCAGCAAACTATTTTCTAAAAATAAGCAAACAAAACAATCTGGAATTTTCTGCAGTCGAGAACAAGCCTTGCTCACCAAAGATTGGAACAACTCCATGTCTGAGGATGTAAATCTCTTTTTTGATTGAATAATAAGTTATTGATAACAAATATAATTATGTTTTCTGTTCTATAGTTTTGGAAGTTTTCGGTTTATTTTTGAAGAAATACCATTAAATTATTGTTTATTGTTTATTATGTACAAATGGCTTGTACAGTGTACACTTTCCTGCATTCTAGATCCACTACATCCTCCAGCCGTACACCAATCAGCTGATTTGGTACATAAACCACCGGAGGAAAGCTCACACTAAACAAATTGAGTCTCAACAAGCTCAGATTCTCTGATTTTCTGATCTCAATATCTTTGTAGTAGACCATAGATATTTCAAACTATGAATTTTGATGGATCAAATAATCTAAGTTTGAAACATCAAAGGTTTATACTATCAGGTTGCAAATATATCGGAATGAATGAAATCCAGTTTGCGGCTAAGACTCGGTTCTTTTACTTTTTTCTATGAACGTATTTAGAGATATTTTTTCAAAGAATTAAGTGGTTTCATTTTATAATGGACAATCATATATTGATCAAACAGGGCTAACAAAGAATTAGGCGTCTGAGACTTTATTGGAAGCCTCTACATTGTTTAGGGAAAAAAATCTCTGATATCCAAAGTCAAGGGCTGAATTTCCAGCAGAATTTTTTCTTGGAATTTTTTCCAAAATTTTAATTTTATTTTACAAAATTGTTATGCCAGTTTTTACATAGATTCGATTTTACTAAAAGCTGAAAAAGCCAGATTTGTTGTTACACGGATTTAATACCTGAGTGTAATTCGCTTGCTGACTGCAGGGGGGACATCATTGCTGGCGATACACAGGTAGCTTCCCATCTGCTTCCGGTCAACGCGATTCAACGCGATCGTGTCTCCAACATAATCCGTATCATTACTGAAATAATTCACGTTAACTTAATGTTAAATTACATAATTTCAACACTGGCAAAATACAAGATTTTGATTCAAAATCAGTCTAAGCTCTTAAATTTCCCATTTTACCTGTTTAGAAGCAAAGGACCACTATCCTCCATTTTATTTGTTTTGAAGTAAAGGACCACTATCCTCCAATTTACCTGTTTAGAAGCAAAGGACCACTATCCTCCATTTACCTGTTTAGAAGCAAAGGTCCACTATCCTCCATTTTACCTGTTTAGAAGCAAAAGACCACACTCCTCCATTTTACCTGTTTGAAAACAACGGTCCACTATCCTCCATTTTACCTGTTTAGAAGCAAAGGTCCACTATCCTCCATTTACCTGTTTAAAAACAAAGGTCCACTATCCTCCATTTTACCTGTTTAAAAACAAAGGTCCACTATCCTCCCTCCTCCATTTAATCCTAGGTGTTGGATGCCCACTAGCATGACAGACCAAAGTTGTGTTGTAATTTTCCTAAATTAAGTTTGAATAAGGAACAAAAAACCTCGTAGTCGTAACAGAATCAATGCTTAGATGGTGCCATTAAAAACTCCTAAATTGAAACACCTAAAATACAAACTCATGAACTACGAGGTCACAGAGTCGTACCAGTAATGTCGCATGAATTTGACCTTATGTTTAAGAGCTCATGAACTTTCCGGAGTTTTTCTCTGTAGGGGTTTGTATTTCTGCTTTGTTTGCACTTGAGAAGTCATGGAGTCGGCCCTATTTGCCATGGCGCTGGCCCTATTTGTCATGGCGTCGGCCCTATTTGTCATGGCGTCGGCCCTATTTGAAAAAATAGCAAACCTGAACAGTGACGTCATTGCTTGTTTGCTTCATGTCTATATCTGGAGGAACATTAACATCTAGACATCCTAGCTCCTGTTTCATCAATTCTGTATTTATCTGACACATATAGCAGCCCCGGTCCCCCTCTTCCACATTTCTGATATGTAATCTCCAGATCTATATCAGGGATACATAAACTTAGTTCAAACTTAATCTTCATTTATCAAAGTAGTAAATAGTATCTGAAGAACAATTTGATAATTAGTAGTAGTAGAAGTTTGGTAATTAGAATCATGTACAGTAAGTAGGGTCAAGGGAAAATCAAATTAGTAAAAAAAATTTGCATCAGTAGTTTTCTTTGGTCAAATAAATTCTTAATACTCAAATTTGAAAGAAACTAATCAAAATCTTTGATATGTCAAACTTAGAATATTTGATCTAACAGAATTCATAGTTTGAAATTTATACGGTCTACGATATCGGGTTGAAAATATATAGGGATTAAAAAATCAGAGTTTGTGACAAACACTCAATTCATTTCCAGGAAAATGTGGAAAATAAAGAACTTAAATTTTCAAATACTTTTATCTTTTCAATCCGATGGTGTAAACCTTATTATTCAAATTTAAATTAATTAATCACCATAACAAAATTCACAAATTCAACAAAATTCTCTCGGACATTGGGTTGCAAAGATATAGGGATTAAAAATCAGATTTTGTAGAATTCAGATTTAAAAACCATTAAAAAAAGTTTGATAAATAGTTTTTGTAACCTTGTTCATCAAAATTATATATTTTTTTTAAAGGGGGGTTGAAACTGAATTTGCGTCAAACACTTGGATTTGTCTTAAACTTTGCATCCTGTTGGTGTAAAAGGTCTACAAAAATCAGGTTGTAAAGATAAACGGATGAAAGCACTTGAGTTAGATGCATGTAATCAGTTGATATTAATTTTTGTCCTTATAACCGTGATTTTGGGAGGCAAAACTGAAATTATTTTATTAATGTCCTCAAAAATCGATTCCACATAAGAAAACATCTGGAATACAACTTCAGTTTGTAGAAATATGCAATTTTCCAATTTTTAAGGTACCCTAGTGTACAGTGTACAGTAAACTGTACAGGCATGATTAGATATTAGATTTGAGGAAAAAAGAAACTAGACAGAAGGATTAGAAATGGGCGTTACAAGTAAAAATTGATATTTTTCTTAGAAAAGTATTTTTTTAAATAAAACACATAAGCTAAATTAAGGATAAAAGAGGCTTTGATTGCGCAATGATATGCATAAATCCACATTGAAAATGAAAAATCACTTGTTTAAATTTAAGAGAAAAAAGAAAGACATTTTCATGATTTTTGATTTATACGCAGATTTAGATAATATCTCGTGGTAAAACCATATAACTGAAATGTAGATAACTGAAGAATTGCTTACTGCTTAGCTGGTAAACACATATTGAACTTTATCAAAAGTCCGAAAAGTGAGTAGTTTGTTTAAAAGATATATTTTCTATATTATTATTTTGACCAAAAATATTTGTTCAAAGGATGATTGATGGCCAGGTCTAAAGAGGCGAGAATGCATTGAAGGATTATATCGGGAGATCAGGAGAAATTAAATTCAATGGATTTGAGGACACAATTCCCAGCTTACAAAATATGGAACAAAGTAAAATATTTAGGAGAAAATAAACATTTTCTCAGAGAAAGTTGAAGAATATTCTTCTTCTTAAAAACTTTATCGAGAAAATAAAACATATCAACAGAGTGAGACCAAAATATATATAAGCCAATTTAAAAAAGAACAAATATTGAACTTTAATGAATTTTAATAAAAACTCTTATATATTTACATTAAAATCTCTTATATCTTTACATTTAAAATTTGAGTTATCTCTTTTAACTAAGAATGCAGATTAAATGCTATATGCTTGGTCACTATTAAATTGACAAAAGAAGCCCTGTCAATGAAAATATGACTTTCCGCATAACATAAGTTATACAAAAAATACTAGAATATAACTGCTTACTCTCATACTGTGATTTACTCCTCTCCATGTCTTTGCAACCTAATAGTGTAAACCTTTGATATTTCAAACGGTGAAAATATGATCTAGCAGATTGAAATATCAAAGGCTTACGAGATCAGGTTGCAAAGGATTAGAAAATTAGAATATGAGATGAGTAATCAGTTTCTTTATAACTCAACTTACTCTATTCTCTTCATGTGAAACTTGAATTCTTGTGTTATGAGTAATAACTCGTTTATGAAGTGCTAGAATAGTCTGATCACCAGCTTTTAACCATCCAACCTAGAAACATCAGATTATATTTGAAGTAGAATAGTCTGGTCACAAGCTTTTAACCATCCAACCAAGAAACATCAGATTATATATGAAGTGCTAGAACAGTCTGATCACTAGCTTTTAACCATCCAACCAAGAAACATCAGATTATATATGAAGTGCTAGAATAGTCTGATTACTAGCTTTTAACCATCCAACCTAGAAACATCAGATTATATCACACTGATTTAAAATTTAATCTCTGTTTGTTTGTTTGTATGTTCAATCATAACTCGTAAACCCCTTGACCGATTAAAGAACTCGGTAGAATCACGGTAATGTTTAAAAATGTATTAAGAAGTTTTAGATTGCAGTTAAAGCTGGGTTGTCAAGGCATAGTTCTCTCTAAGTTTATTTTATTTTGATGTTTTACTCTGACAACATGTATTAAGCAAACCCATGAAACAAAACAAACAAAACTAGAAATAAAGATGCTATAAATGGTCATAGATGGCAATCTACATCAGACATTTTAGATCAAGAATAGCAGCTCCAAAAATACTGGAAAGAATAGAATGTTTTTCGAAAGATTTTAAAAGTATTTTTTTTAAATTTAAAAATAACGAAAACCTAAAAAAGAATGAACTGTTACCTTATATTGCCTAAGATTTGTGACCATGCATTCTAAAACCGCCTCCCGGCCTACGTTGACCGTAACGTTGTGAATTGGAGCAGAGAAAACCGGATTAAAGTCTCCTAGCTCAGTGGTCTGCTCAGGTGGGCGGTATTGGCTCAATCCAACCTCACCCCGACTACCAGGGTAAAATTTAGTGTAAGATTTAAATATTCTAAAAGACTGAAATTAGTGTTTTCTGCTTTTTCTTGCTACAATTTAAGATATTTTAGTTAACATTATTCAATAACGTCTGTAAGATTCGGAAGGTTAAAAATTTAGTGCTAATTACTGATGGGCATCAATTTAAGGGCCGTTTGGAGACATACAGATTTTTTGACGTTAAAAGTTGTTTACTAAAATGTGAGTTATTATTCAAATTGCACAATTGTAATCTCGATAAGTTTCATCGTTTAATTACATTTTTTTAAATTTAAGTTTTTGCTCTGATCAAAGACACTTACCAACATGATTTTCCAAAACAAAAACGAAAAAGGATTTTCTAATCGTTTTGGTGACTTTTGCACAATGTAATAAAAGCCAACTTGTCCAGCATGCAATTTTTAAATAAGATTTGCATCTTTGATTCTTGTGAAGTCTCGTAAAATCCTAAACATTTTGAATATTTAAAAACGGGCCCATCAGTATAAGTGGTAATATGCTCCCTAAATGTAACCTACCAATAGGCTTCCGGAATGACTATCTATGGTTTTATTATTTCTTTAACGAGACAAGTGGTGTAATGGTAAGCTATCAAAACATAAGTTTAAAAATGAGTTTTACACGCCTTCCAATAATAAAATAAAATAACTGAACAATCACTTTAATTGATACCTTACAGCCCTTCGGTTTGGTTTTGTAATTTGAGTATTTTAATTGAGTTCGCAAACTAATTATTCGCATCCATTTGTGGAACACAATCCATAGTCCCCCCCTCCTAATCCATGCACTAGGAGTAGGAAAAGTAGAAGAATCCAAAGAGATTTCAGATAACGCGGTTTAATGATTGGAAGGGATTTGAGCGGACTGTAAGCGTAATTTCAAGTGACCCTACCCATGGTCCCCATGGCCATATGTCTGATTTATAACTGTACTCAAAGCGTTGTCCGATCATGTAGGAGTTAGATGTCAATTGATCCATTCACCTTCACCGAATATTATTAAATTAGATCACACGCGCCTACATTCCCTTTGTCCGTCGTCTTCGTTTTCTCATTAAATTGAAAAAATGGCGCTGAGGATTTGCTATTCTATAGCTGTTACAGTTGATATATGTACTTACAAAATTTTTTTGAAAATTAACTAGTTACAAAGTAAAATTTATTTTTTTATGTCAAAAGAAAAAAATGATGATAATGATTCCACAGTTTTCTTGTCATCGCTGAAGAAAATTTTATATTTCAATAATACTATTTATCTTGGAGAAAAAAGAGCGAAATTTTTGTAATTCTGGAGAATAAGTTTTCAATACTCCTAGCCCTGATCCAAGAGTAGTGTTCGAGGGTTTAAAATCTTAAGAAAATAGGAATTCAAGAATTTTTATATTTCACTGGTTTTCCTGTTAATAGTCTGTCCTCCTAGGGGTGGAAGGTAGGGTTCGTATTCGTACTTATCCGGAGTATTCCGAATATATCCTGAAATATGGTTTATATCAGTATTAGCTCGGAGTATTCTGGATATATCCTCTGAAATATGGTTTAAATTAGTTTTAATCCGGAGTATTCTGGATGTGCCCTGAAATATGGTTTATATTAATTTTCATCTGGAGTATTAAGAATATATGCTAAAATATGGTTTATATTAGCATTTATCCGGAGTATTCCGGATATATCCTGAAATATGGTTTATATTAGTAATTATCTGGAGTATTCCATGGATATATCCTTAAATATGGTTCTTATTAGTATTTATCCGCAGTATTCCAGATATATCCTTGAATATGGTTTATATTAGAATTTATTCGGAGTATTCCGGATATATGCTGAAATATGGTTTATATTAGAATTTATTCGAAGTATTCCGAATATATGCTGAAATATGGTTTCTATTAGTATTCATCCGGAGTCTTCCGGATATATTCTAAAATATGGTTGATTGGTATTTATCAGGTGTATTCTAGATATATTCTGACATATGGTTAAAAATAAGTATTAATCCGGAGTATTCTGGATATCTTGAATTTTGGTTTACTTTTAATATTTATCCGGAGTATTCCAATCATTATTCCAATCCTCTCATATCCCATATCCCTTCATTACTCCAATCTTTCAATATCACAAATCTTCATTATTCCCTTCCTCCCATATCCCATCTCCTCCAATCCACCCATATTAAATCTCCATCAATTCTCCCATCAAATGATAAATCTTTAAATAATTTGTATGAAGATTAATGAAGATTGTGTTGATATAACATGAGTATTCTTCATTCAAGATTAGTCTTTTCAATCCCTTCTCATCTTCCCACACCCTTCAGAGTGCAGAGGAATAATTATATACTCTAAAAATGGGAGGGGGAGGGGGGATAAGAAATGAGAATACTCTAAACCTGAAATACTTCATATATTTTTATCCAGAAACAAGAAAGGTAGTTATTAAATTCTTACATTTTTCAGAAGAGGAAAAGAAAATATCTCTCTCATTCTTACTCAGATAGGTTAGATAGGTACCGTTGTGAATCTGGCATGTAAAACTATTCAGATTAAAGATTATTTGCTGTTATGAAATTATACGAGACATACAGTCCCTTGAACTCTAGTAAAACCGTCAAATAAATAATAAAAAGTCGTGAATTAACATTCTCAAACGATTTAAAAGAAGTTATTCACATTTTTCAATGTGTCTATCTATCTAAATAATGTCCATTGTCCATCTAGCTATATATATAATCTAACTATCTATCTAACTCAATATCTAAAATTTACTATCAACCGTCTATCTGTTTATCTGTTTGATTGTCTAGTTGACAATTTATTATATATTTAACTGTACATATATATTACTTTATCTATCTATCAAACTATTTATCTGTTTTACTGTCTAATTGACAATTTATTATATATTTAACTGTACATATATATTACTTTATCTATCTATCAAACTGATTATCTGTTTTATTGTCTAGTTGACAATTTGTTTTTATATTTAACTGTACATATATATAACTTTATCTGTCTATCAAACTGTTTATCTATTTGACTGTCTAATTGTCCATTGTTATACTAACAACCTACATATCTGTCTATGCCACTGTCTATCTTATTGTATCTATCTGTCTATATAGTTGTCTACCTAACTATCTATCTGTATATCTGTCTATCTATATCTACCTATCTATCTGTATTCTGTGTATGCATGTGTTAGTTCCCATATCACTATCTAAGATTCAATTAGATGGAATCCTGATATTCTAAATCTACAGTATTCTATATTAAGGAATACAATCACAGTAATAGTATGGGTTTCCTCAATATCAGAGAAAAATGCAACCCCCCCCCTCCCACAAAAAAATCCTTCTTTATAAACCATTCAAATTTTACTTTTATCGGGAATGTCATTAACTTTCCATTTTTTTAGGGGGTACATCCCTATAATCGTCCACCGGGGTTGCCACAGTACCCCCCCCCTCCCTAATATTTACGAATGCCCAAATATTGCACAGTGCACGTTTATGCTTTAAGTATTGTAATTTTTATCAAATAACACAGTGCTTTTAATGCGATTTGCGGTGACCAAGGTAAAAATATCTATTATTGTATGCAGTATTTTGAAGATATGTATATTTTTTATCTGTTCCCTGAGATGCAGAGATAATCCTAACCCGGAGCAATAAACCTTAAACAAACACTCAACCCTTCTCCGGGTACAAAATTCATTAGAATGTTTCCGCAATATCTATACAATCTACAATCTTTAGAAGTTCACACATCCTTCGCACCCAGACTCAACGTAAATAAACACTAAAGTTGAACAGACAGAATAAAAACGACTAGTTGGGCCATACAAAATTATTTGGTTTGGTTAAATTTTTTTAAATTATTGTTTTGGGGCCCAATTTATGATGCAAGGACTAGAAAAAGTTTACAATTATTAATGATGTCATTATAAAAACTTGAAATTTAATTCTAATTAAACTTTATAATATGATAAACACTGAAAGTTCGTTCTAAGCTACGAATATAACCATGCTGCTCTCTAGTTTTATATCTTTTATCTAACTTCAAAAAGCTTCAACCTAGTAAATTCAAGACTTCTTCCTAACTACAATAAACATACAGATGTTTGCTTTAAATTAAAAAATTGACGACCGAAGACTGTAAAAGTAATCGTCTATAGGAAAAATTACTAAAAGTTAATAACAATTGTCTAGTAATGTAGAAATTCATGTCAAAAAATTTAATTTATTTATTCCAATATAGATGTAATTTTAAGGAAACGGCTGTTAATGGCCGTTCACTAAAATCCCATCTATAATCCCTTTTAATGCAGATTCTGGACCTAATCATTTGAGGCGTTTGTTTCTCTTTAAAAGTTTGCTTATTTATATCACATTATATATATATATATATATATATTATTCTAAAATACTTGGGACATAAAATGTCGTCATCCGGCTGCGAGTTTGGAACACTTTAGTATTTGTTCACTTTGTACCAGAGCTCCCAACCTTGATTTGGTCTTTTCTTCATTCTTTACTTTGTCTTTATAGTTTTATTTTAATGTTTAACTAGTTTCTAAAGACTTGCAAACTTATAACATTTTCTAATCCCTATATCTTTGTAACCTGATGGTGAATAGAACCGTTAATGTTTCAAACTTAGATTATTTGATCTCACGGAATTTATATTTTGAAATATCTTAGATTCACGAAAGTGGTAAGAGTTTGTGGCAATTTTTAAATTCCATCGAAACACTTAAAAGGTATACCAAGAGATATCGACCAAAAAAGTTCTCATGAAAACTCGAATTAGACTAATCCTTATATCTCTAAAACTTGCAAAAACTTTTAAATCTCAAACTTGATTTAGGAGATCTCAATAAAGTATCAAAGAACTAAGTTGCAATGGTAAAACAGATTTAAATATTAGGAGAGATCAGTTCTCACCGATATTCCCTTGTATATATATGATATATTACTTTGACCCACATGTTGCAAGCTCCAAAGCAAAATTGTTTAGTATTTAGTACTTCTTAAAAGCTAAAGCTAAAAACGAGTGCTTAATGGTTCTAAAATGTACATGTCAAGAGCTACAAAAAAATAATCAGGTTAATGTGGTAAAATCAAAGGCTAAGGCGTTGCGACACTTAAAATTAACCCGGGCTTGATAATTGATACAACTTTTCAAAGCAGTCTAGATATATCATTTCTTTAAAACTTCAGGGCGGATATGATGGTGATATACACCAAAACTTCAGGGCGGATATGATGGTGATATACGCCAAAACTTCAGGGCTGGTATGATGGTGATATACACCAAAACTTCGGGGCGTATATGATGGTGATATACGCCAAAACTTCATAGCGGATATGATGGTGATATACACCAAAACTTCATGGCGGATATGATGGTGATATACGCCAAAACTTCATAGCGGATATGATGGCGATATACGCCAAAAAACTCTTCTGACCTCTTTTAATAAACTGAGTTTTCTGTAGACCTCCAGAGTTCCCTTGAATATACTCGCTCAGAACTAGAAACAATGTGCCAAGTCGAAACATTTTTTCTGAAATATTTTTAGATATAAAAATGTTGAACACTTTTTTTTGGCTTTCTAAATAAAGTTGGAGCACTGGATTCATATTTGTTGAATTAAATTTATCACTCATCAACAAATTTTGTTAGATGAAATTTTGACATTTCTTAGAGAAACATAAGATTCCAATCTTTTTAAACCCAGCATCCCTACCCCCCCCCCCTTTATCAAAAAGATTTGTTTACGCCCATTTGGTCTGGAGGGTCCTGACCATCACTCCCAGAATATTATCAGATGATCCCAAACTAATTAATCGATGATAAAGCAAACTGTTCCTCAATCAAATCATTGCAATCATCATCCATCTCAATCATTGGTTTACATACAGAATTGGAAACTTTTCAAACGCGTTGTATCAGCTGTCTTTTATGAAATTAAATGTCTGTTTGTTTGTATCCAAGAAACGTCAGTCTGGCTAAATGATCGTGAAAAAGTTTACAACCGGTCTAAATTTTTTTAAAAATAATTTTGAAATTTTAAAAGAAAATTCCGTGAAATTTTTAGTTTTAACAATTTCACAAAAAAATAGCGACTTGAATAACAACATTTGAAATATAAAATTGTCACTAAAAAATGGAGCAACCTCCCTGAACATGTCATCATAAAATTCCCCTGTAATACTCTTGTTTTCTAATAATTTAAACATTCAAATTCATATGCCACGCACTTAAAACGTTTCATTCAATTTCAGAACACAAATGTACATATATATTTGGATTTCTTTAAGTTTTACCAAGAAAATACACCACGTTCAGCTTTCACATCTTTTCATCATTTTTAACAAAAATAGAACAGTTTAAATTTACAAATAGCCACTTTAAGGGACTTCAGTTGACATACTTTAAAGCAACCTTTGAATTAAAGATTTACAATTTACATTTTAAAAAATGAGGAAGACGTCGTTTTACTCTTTTCTATTTTGATATGAAATTGTCCCATATAGGCTCTGTAAAGAACCTTTCAATAACCAATTTTGCTGAAACAAAGTTCTGAAGGGTATCGTTGTGAATCGGATGAAATTACGTCGACAGTCCCTTTAATCAATCATGTTTGAACCCTTGCATTTGAGAAGAAGTATAAAGTTTGTTAAATGTTTAGAAATGGTTTGAATATGTATAATGTAATTGAAATGAAGAGACAGGAAAATACAAATTTTACTTAAACTTCTTTTATTAGTTTAGATACACCTGTATTCATAAAACATTATAATTCTAAGATACTATTAGCTTAGGTACAGGTGTATTCATAGAACATTATAATTCTAAGATACTTCCCAGATTTAAAGATAAAACTTTTCATTTTAAAATTTCACATTTTTTTCAGATATTCAATAATTTTATTGTTTATGATAAAGATAGCCAGAATGTGTTTGTCCATACAGTTGTAAGTTATAAAATCTTGGTTTTCTGTTTAAAATACATCTTTAAAAACATGGCTAACATATCTAAATATATACTTTGCTTGTCTGTCTGTCTGTATGTTTGTATACAATAAACGTCAAAACTGCTGAACCGATCGGGACCAAATTTTGTTTTGGAACTCACGTGACCCCAGGGAAGGTTTATGTATGATAAAAATTTCAAAGTTTGTGCTCAAAAGTTTTTTATTTATGTAAAATTTTGAAAATCGAAAAAATATTATGAAATCCGCAAACTTTTATTTTCATTTTTTTATACTGTTCAAAGAGAAGATGCTCACAGGTAAAGCCGCAGTAAAAAGCCTAGTATTTATATACTTTGCTTGTTTGGGTGTCTGTCTGTTTGTTTGTTTGTAACCGATAAACGTCAAAACGGCTGAACCGCGCGATCGGGCCCAAATTTTGTGGGACTTCAGATGACCCCAGGGAAGGTTTATGGAACAAAATTGAAAGACAAAATTTTGTTGAAAATTGGCAAATTCTAAACAGAAAAATTCGCCAATATTTGAAAATGGTTTCAAACGGCCGACTTTCGTCTTTTAGTGCAACAGTTAAAAGCTGAAATTATTTACAGGAAAAGAAAAATCTGGAGGGTTTTGCACCATTTTCTGTTGAATTTAGAAAATTTCGTAAGCCTATGTTTTACGAATCCCTCTGGGTTTGCATAAAGTGTAGAAATATCTTGAAACTAGATCTTATTGTATAAAAGGAACAGAGAAATACAATACAGATCTTTAAATTGTAGATTAAAGAGAGAATACAGATCTTTAAATTGTAGATTGGAGAGAATTCAGATCTTTAAATTGTAGATTGGAGAGAATACAGATCTTTAAATTGTAGATTAGAGAGAATACAGATCTTTAAATTGTAGATTAGAGAGAATACAGATCTTTAAATTGTAGATTAGAGAGAATACAGATCTTTAAATTGTAGATTAGAGAGAATACAGAAATTATCTATTCATCCTATCATCTATCCTATCATCTATATTTCCTATTATCTATATATCTATCTTATTATCTATCTATCCAATCATCTATATATTCTATCATCTATCTATCCTATCATCTATCTATCCTATCATCTGTCTATTCTATCATCAATCTATTCTATCATCTATATTTCCTATCATCTTTCTTTCCTATTATCTATCGATCCTAATATCTATCTATCCTATCATCTATCTATCCTAGCATCTATCTATTTTATCATCTATCTATGATATCATCTTTCTTTCCTATTATCTATCTATCCTATCATCTAGCTATCCTATCATCTTTCCTATCATTTATCTATCCTATCATCTATCTATCCTATTATTTATCTATCCTATCATCTATCTATCTTAGCATCTATCTTTCCTATCATATATCTATCCTATTATCTATCTATCCTACATATATCTATATTATCATCTATCTATCCTGTCACTTTCTTTCCAAGCATCTATCTATCCCATCATCAATCCATCCTATCATTTATCTATCCTATCATCTATCTATTCTATCATCTATCTATTCTATCATCTATCTATCCTATCATCTATCTATCCCATCATCAATCTATCCTATCATCTATCTATTCTATCATCTATCTATCCTATCATCTATCTATCCTATCATCTATCTATTCCATCATCAATCTATCCTATCATCTATCTATCCTATCATCTATCTATACTATCATCTATCTATCCTACCATTAATCTATCATACCATCTTTCTTTCCTATCATCTATCTTTCCTATCATCTATCTATCCTATCATCTATCTATCCTATCATCTATCTTTCCTATCATCTATTTATCCTATCATCTATCCATCCTATTATCTATCTATTATATCATCCATCTATCTATCTTGTGTTGTGATAGGACCGGATTACTCTGAGACTAGAGCTAATCTTTCATAAATTAAAATCATTTCATTTTTGATTAATTTTAAATTTACTCATAAGAGTTCATGAACAGAAAAGAAGCACGTCCCCTCTCCCACAGGCTCCGGACTATTTTGCTGGGAAAGTTTTTGGTTGCGTTTAGTTTGTTCAAATACATACCATGGCCTCGTGCTTTGCGGAATTACTGGGATGATTTTGTATCCGACTAAATCCTTTGTTTCTGCTGAAGAAATCCAAAAGTCACTTTTCTAGATAAATTTCAATTGAAAAATGTCAATTTAAAAAGAAAATTTTGCATATCTCATTTATTTTTAACAAGGAAAAGCTTTTGAGGGTACCGTTGTGAATCGGACAAGCCGTTCTTTTTTATGGAAAGGACATTTTTGTACCTTACTGCACATATGTCCCCTTCCTCCTGTTCATGAATAATACCTTACTGCACATATGTCCCCTCCCTCCTGTTCATGAATAATACCTTACTGCACATATGTCCCCTCCCTCCTGTTCATGAATAATACCTTACTGCACAAATATCCCCTCCTCATGTTCATGAATAATACCTTACTGCACAAATATCCCCTCCTCATGTTCATGAATAATACATTACTGCACAAATATCCCCTCCTCATGTTCATGAATAATACCTTACTGCACAAATATCCCCTCCTCATGTTCATGAATAATACCTTACTGCACATATGTCCCCTCCCTCCTGTTCATGAATAATACCTTATTGCACAAATACCCACTCCCTAGTCCCCCTTTCATGTTCATGAATAATACTTTACTGCACAAATATCCCCCCTCATGTTCATGAATAAGCTTGTTGTGAACCTGAACCTATCCTGTTTTCCTACATTTACATTAATAAATGATGGAAAACTGTAGAACACAAAAACAGATGACGACCTGAGAATAAAATACTGGAAAAAGATAAAGAAATGCATGCAGGTGGAACGGAAGTAAATGTTTGCAGGGTGTGCCGGAAAAAGTGTATAAAAAATATATTACCAGCTGAATTGCCCGTTATAGCAAACATATAATTATACATACATGTGAGCGAAAAGCTTTGTCATTTAGATTAGATATTTATTTGTATGAACATAGTCAGCAGTAATTTTAATTTGATCAGAGCAACATTGCGAATAATTCCACTTTTTTGAGATTATGACTGTACAAGTTTGGGAACCAAGCTTTCTCTGGAAATGTTTGTTCCCTATAAAACCCAGAAAATTTACAACGTCTAAGACTAGCTCGTGGTTCAAATTTAACGGTAAACTTTAAAACCATTTATAAAATTTTATCTGATTCAAGCACGTCGGAAAAAATTTAAATCTAGAAAAAACTGTAAATTTAGGCTCTTCGCTGATAAATCCAAATTCTATTTTTATTATTTTTTATTAACCATCGCGTCGCCCGTATCACGAAATATTCAATAAGGATATGTTTTCAATGTCAAGAAGTAAGAGCAAGCCATCTTAAAACTTGACTGAGAAAAATACAGGAGGAATATTGGCCCCCTGCTCCTAAAGGGAAAATAATTACCCTAAAGCTGGTAAATTTTTGTTTCGTAAACTGTTTTTTGGATAAGTTCGTCTCAAAACTTATCAACTACTGTGAAATTCCAGTGTACGAATGTAGTTTTGATAAGAA